TAAGAGAGGAACTCGATAGTTTGCTGGAAAACATACAGTCCAGTAAACGTACATTTTTCTCACACGCTTGATTAACAGCAACAAGGAGAAGTATATTTCTTATCTGAGTGGCCGAGAGGTAATGAACTGGATGGCAATCATCACAGACGCCAAAAAGATCGCGAAGATTTTCCATGGGGCTGTACCTGGCCCAAACGACGACCTCCGAGGACTAATTCAAAAACATGATTCACAAGAGAAGCTCTCATCGTTTGAGTCGAGCACAAGTAGCAGATCCAATACAGTGAAAGAACTCTGGGCGAAGAAAGGGGTGACCTTTCCAGGAACTGGTCCTATATGCTAGCCTTTAAGGTGTTCGATACCTGTGTCTCAAACACCAGAGGAGGAGGGCTATCAAATAAATTTGGCTTTACGTGAAAGTCAACAAACCACCCGTATCCAAAGTGATCAGTTATCTGTTGCTTACACAAGATCGATTTCAGGAGCTCCAGCCTTCAGATTTTCTCAAGACTACACGGCTGTAAATGAGACCTTGTCACGGCCGAAGTAGCGCATATACTGGCAATAACACTGCGTCTGAAGAAAATGCGTTGTCACTTTTACCATACCGTCAAAGTGATCAGATCGATCAGTTATCCTTTTCCCCTGCAAGATCGATTTCACGAGCTCGAGCTCTTGACTTTAAATTTACTCAAGACTGCACGGCCGTGAATGTCCCTTTCCCCGGGGGAGGTACTCCCAGAAAAATTGGGTGGGGGTGTGCGGCCCGCTTCCCAAAACCCTTACCCTATTTATGACCAAAATCTGCGATATTCCCTACCCTGTTAATGACCTGACCAAAAATTCGAAACCCCTTTTATGACCTGACTCTTAAATCAAAACCCTGTTTCTGACCTGCGTTATACTAAGTTCACTAGCTCAGACTAATGTTAAATTACCGTAAACATAATTTGTGACGGGTTTTTGTTGATTTTCTTTTCGATAATGATGAAAAAGTGGCTTCTTCTTAAAAACATACCCATATCAAGGCTAGAGTGCAAAAACCATACACTATTTATGATCAAAATGGCCAAAATCAGCTAAAATCGATACCCCATTTATGAGCAAAACGGCTGAAAAACCATACCCTTTGGGGCCGCACATACCTATAGAGCCCATATAAGGGAGTACCCCGAGCCCTTACCAAGGCCCAGGTAGCACAGATGCCAGCTCTAACAATGCGTCTGAAGAAAATGCGCTGTCACTTCTCGGAAGTGCAGCAAATTTGCTAGCCTGCGTAGCTGGCGGTATTGCAGGCGCGCGGAATAACGTTTTGGCAGCGGAGCGGCTAAAAGCGAGCGGTCAAGCCGCGAGTAGCCTTCCACGCAGACGCTCTTAGGGCTCGTCACACGTTCCTTCCCCACGTTTGTTTGTTAATCGAGAGCAGCATAAACGCAAATCGCGTGTATGTAGACGTGATCGTGAACCAAGCAGAATACCAATACGAAGTTTGAAAAGTTTAAAAGAAACAAGAGCAGAAAGGTTAGAGAATTTGTCTATGCACGTATTATTTCATGTATACCCACGTCATCTACATTGTGCTGTTATGTAAATGCTAGAAAACTATTAAATAAAACAATAGCAGCTCCATATAGGCAAGGTTATGAGTAAGTTTTAGGATTGAATGCAGGACATTGCAATGTGTTGCAATGAGTTTGTGCTCTTTGATTTACAGTCACACACGGGGGATCAGCTCCGCAAATGATCTGATACAAATAATGAATATTGGAAATCAGTTTTATTCGTTTGTCACGATTAGCCAGACAGGCGTTATTAATGCAGTCAGAATTACCAACAGCATTAAATGTGGTTAATATTGATTATCAACTGGCATAGAGTGAAAGCTACTCTGGTACTGTTCACCAAGAAATTGCTATAGAAGGATATATATACTGTACCTCTTTACGAAGAGCCTTTGAGTTGCCCATATCTGAAAACTACACCAATTTCATATTTACAGTAAGGTGTATTGCTGTTGCAATCTATTGTGACAGTAATATGGGGTTCAAAATATTTGATTCTCATGCTAGAGATTTGCATGGTGTAGGGCAGCCTTAAGGTACATGTGTTCTTCTCGACGTACCGTCCCTTGATAGTTTAGTGCATTATTTTCAGAGTATACTTAACAATTATTCCATGAGCGCGCGTTGGATATGAGATGGTAAATAGCCAACGAGGCCCGTAGGGCCGAGTTGGCTATAACCAATCTCATATCCAACAATCGCGAATGGAATAATTGTTTTGTTAAATTCGGTGCGTTTGTATACTTGGAAATTATAGCTTAATTTTATTGGGTTTTAATTTTACAAAGCGACCGGAAATCGATGTGGCGAAAACAACAACAAGTGGGAAATCACATGACATGCGCGCCGTTTGTAAAATTAGTTGAATGAAAAATTTGAAAGGGAAGCAAGCGAATTTGCTGAATGAATTTACAATCAAGTAGAATTCAAGAAACGTATATCAAATGAAGGAGATGTAAACTTGTTCAGAAAGTTTGAAAAGCGTTCAAGTTCGAGTCATGGAGAAGAGCCGAATAATTGTGTACTTGCACATTGCCGTTGTAATAACGCTGCGGAAAGCTTTGATCGCCATGTGACACAGACGTTGTGCCAAAATTATGCTCGACAAGACCTCTTTCGGAGTTCCCTTGCTTTGAAAGACATGGCATTTCGAGCTGTATGTGTGGAGCTCATTGTTTCTCACCAGCTAATCCTCCAAGAACTGTAGATTTTTGTGGAACTGAAGTAAATTTAGACAATTGGTTTGAGAGTGAAGGAATATTAACTGATTAACTACAGAGCAAGTCAATAAGTCAATTCTTGAGAATGATATAGTAAATAATGGTGAATGCACAGGGTTTTGATATCATTCGCCTCGTATTGCATCAGTTGTATCTTTAAACCCACAAAAAAATCAAAATATATGTATTCCGTCCTGCTTTATAATGAAACACACGCGTCCCGTATTCAGTACACTAAATGGAATGGCTTTACTTGTTGATGCCTTTAGCAAAATACAAGAGAAATATGACACTCCAGGGCATTACAGAATACAGTTTGCTTTATGTTCATGTAAAGTAGTTGACAGAAACGAAAGAAAAAAATTGATGAATAATTATAGACAAAAACAAGACTATAAAGCAATGGAGCCAGCCAATTTTTATAAGATATGAATATGATTCACAAAGATAATTTGAACTTTGACATACTATTGATTCCTTACAAATAAATTGTTGTTTTTCTACCATTATACCCTTGAAATATTATCATTGTAATTAGAAGTATAGTCATATGAAAAAATATTAAAACTATTATAATCTTACAGTTTGTCTTTTTCCTCACTGCTTATATACAGAATGAAAACACTTAGATAATTTTCATATGTATGTGAAAATTTGCAGATTACTGTAATTATTAGTTTCCGAATTTTTTTGTTCATTCTCAACTGCTACAAACTAAATAGTCATTTTTCATTCAAGGGCAAATGAAAATAGGACTTTTGATTAGAATAATTTCAATAAGCCTGGGTACTACTGATGAATTTAGTACAAAACATGCTTAAGCATATTTCACGGGTTCATGAGAACCACTCTAACGACCCCATAAAATTAATAGTTCATCTGCTAATAAGCTTTGGTAGTGACTTTTTGTTTTCTTTTGGTGATAACAAAAATAAACAACTGGTTTTCTTGCGTGGGTTAAATGTAATCAGCCTAGCACTTGAAGCTGTTATAATTGAAAGCCATCTCAGCCTGGAATCTTTTGTTAACCAAGGAAGAAAACATAAGATGATAGAAAGCTTATTTGGTAAATGACTCACTGCGCTACAGTACAACCCCTTAACTCGCAAAACACAATTTAATCAGGTCAAAACTCTTGAAACTACATAACACATGTTGTTTTCAGCTCAGTATACATACGTGAGAAACCTGCATCTCTATACGAAGCATCCTGACCTGCATCTCTATACCAAGACAGAAAACAGTTACAGGCTAAACCAATAATTCCATTAAAAACTTAGGCAAATTCAGGCACGAAAATGTTTCTTTCCAACATAAGGCCCGAGTGAACGCAAATATGCATCTAGTTTAGCATTGTGATCAAATTTATATGTAATTACCACGGTACGAATTGCTAAATATAAACAAACTCGAATCAAGTACTATCGCTCTCGATGTGTATGCCTCCATAAAAACTCTAATAACATCACCATTTCGCACCCGATTTCCTTGAAACTTTCGAATTTTACTCGCAATTTGTCGAGGAATAATACGTATGTCAATTTGACTATGTACCGTTTGCTGGTTTTCCGTGATTTTGCTTTTATTAAAAACTACTTTTTTCGTAAAATTGCTATCCTAACAAAACTGAATGCACCATTATCTGTTGTTTAACAAATACGTACAAGCGTATGTACCATTAAACGGCAATGCTCACACGTTTATAACAATCAAGCTTGGACGCACGTGGATGGTCCTTTTGAGAGAAAACTGCTGGGGACTCCAAGTACCAAGGGTTCCCCCATGAAGTGCCATGAGCCACAGTACTGTAGCCACCGCTCACGTGACTCAAAGCACGGGGGAGGGGGGGGGGGGAATAAAGAGTAATGTAGAACTAACCAAACAGCAGTAAACGCAACATCGCCCCATGGTATACGTTGGCTTATCAGTAAAACATCATTAGAACTACCATAAGCTAAAACTATAACTCCTTCAGGACTGACCCTAAGCATGGGAAAGGGATAAGAAATGTTGTCTAAGTTGAATTTGAGCAAAAGTAATTCTTGGTTTTCACCAGTCATGTGATCAAAACTAAAAATCGTAACCATTCAATAAATAAATTCAAGA